ATTTTAACAGCTTGTTTTTTCTTTTGCCGAACTTGTATCTTTTTTTTCTTCTTTGACTTTTCTTCTTATCTCTTGTTAGTTTGCTGTGGTAGTTTTGATGGATTCTTTGAATTGTTGTATTATAAACTTTAGGGCTATTTTGTTATGCAATTTTTATCAATTCTTTCTTTGTTTTTGAAGTCTTATATTTCAATCTAATTCTATTTTTAACTTTATTTTAGCATCTTATTTTTCTTCTTCTTCTAGTGAACTTCTTATTCTAATAGCTATATTTAATTTCACTATTATATTATTTATTTTTTCATATATAATATAACTAACTAGGTTTTTTTCTTCTTATATTGCTTTGTGAAAATAGCAATAGTTTCTTCCTATAACTACAAGTTCTGTATACTTTAGTTTTTCTTTATTATATTGGTATAATTCTTGATAGAGCTTCTCTATTTATATTTCAGCTTTTTTTTCTGTAAAGACAATATCATTTATCACCTGATTTTTTTTATCAGAGGCTTACCCCTCTTCCCCTCTTAATATAAAAAAAAATCAGGTTCTTATATATAATTTTAACTTTTTTTACTCCCTCCCTCCCTAAAAAATCATCTGATTTTTGTCACGTCCCTAATAAGTTTCTTTTCAACATATTCTGCTATTATTTATTTTATTTGCATATCTATTTCTTTATCAGTTATTATTGTTGTTATGTTCTGAATAGTTTCTAAGATATTTTTGTATCTTCTAGTGTATCATATTTTTTTTCAAGATGTTTTGTTAAAATTTGCTTCACATGTCTTGTTGTTTTCTCTATGTAACTTTTTGTTTTCTTCTTGCTATAGATTTTGTAATTGTTTTATATCTTGGTCTATCTCTTAAATTTGCTTTGATTGTTATATCAAACTCATCTATATGCTTAGTATTTTTTCTTTATAATAAACTTATATAGAAATATTCCTCTTTTTAATACTTTCTTATATTTGCAATTGTTTCTTTTCTAAGTTTAAGTTCTGTACTGAAAATTTCATACTGTCTGTACTGTTTAAGTTTTTCTATAAGAGCTTCTATTCTTTCTTCTATTTCTTTTCTTATGGTAGTTCTTATTTCAAAATATTCTGTTAATTTTTGCTTCATATGACTTGTTGTTTTTTCATATTGTTGTTTGTTGTTGTTGCTTGTTGCAATTGTTTTTCACTTTTGTTTATTTTCATTACATAGTTTTAGCATATTTTTTTGTTTATTTTTTATTATATGTTGTAATTCTTGTATTACTAAAACAGATCTGTGGTTTAGAATCAAGGCTAATTTCCTAACAATTTACAAATTGCAAAAAAATATTGATGATTTTTTATGACTTCATCTATTTCTTTGCTATTTCTGTTCTTTTTACTCAAGTTTCTTAAGAGATTGAGTGTTTCTTGTAGTTCTTTCTTTTTTTCTTAAAGTTCTGAGTTTGGTTTTTTAGTGATCTTTGTGTATTTTCTGTAGCTTTTGTTATTTTGTTTTTCAAAAATTTGTGTTTTGATGATTGAAGATAGAATAATTCAAAAGTTTGAGTTAGTATAATAATAGATAAAAAATTTATATCATTTTTGCCAAGAAAATTTTAAAAACTTTTGATTATATACAAGTTAATATATATTGATAACAATATATATTGTAAAAGTAAACTAATTATATATATAAAATTAGCTAATAGAACCAGCTTTATTATATAAAAATTAAAATTAAATATATAATAAAATATAAAATATATAGAAATTTGTATATTTAAACAAATAAAACTTCAGTCTAATATGAATTTTTTAATAAAAAATTACTTAAGTTATTTTACTAATCTTGATTTAGAATACTTCACTATTTACAATATTAGTATTAATAAATAAGATATATTAGTTTAAAGATTATTAGAATATATAAAAATAAAATAAGTATTTGTTGGTTGGTTATCCAGATTATACTACTTGAAGATCAATACTCAAGTAACCTGTATACTACACTTTGGTAAATTTAAAATTAAAGAATAACAAAAATAAAGATAAATTAATAGTTATATAAAGAATAATAAAAGTAAGAATAAAATTAATAATATAGAAGTAGAAATAAAATTAATGATTAAAGAAAAAATATAAAATCAACAGATACATATATAAAAGAATTAATGTATTATAAAGTCATAATAAAAAGTAAAATTAAAATATCTTCGAGAATTTTGGTATAATGAATTGATAACAAGATGAAGGATAAATTTTTGAAGATGGAATATATTAATAAAGATAATAGAGAATCAAAATATACTAACCGATTTTATTACTTCAAAACATTTTGTATATTTTATATATCAAACTGATAGCTCCTTTTTGCTAAAAATATTTTGTTGACAAAGCATGTAAAAATTTACTCAAATTATTCACTATAAGAAAAATTATTGAAACCTATTTATTTTAGAATATATGAAAAGAATTTTTTTAGTCAATATAAATATATTTTGGTAGCATATTGAGACTTGTTTTAATAGAAATAGAGCAGCCTGAATATAGTTTAGAATATTCTGGAAGATTTCTATAAAGTTTGTTTAACATCTATATTATACATTTTTGTATATACATACGTATTTATTTGCGCGAATAATACAAACCTCTAAAAAGGCAAATTTTGACTATTCCAGATCAGCCTAGCATGAATTCCGAACACATGTAAAAGAAGCAAAAAACGACAATACTCAAAAACCAGTATTTAAATCAATCTTGGTGTACTAATTAAAAATAGAATGAAATTTACATATAAGAAACAACAATTATTGTTATATCCTCTAATATTAACACCTAATCCTAAACTTCTATCTTTACGCACTTAGTAAAATTTAATTTCTTTTTTCAGTTTGTGTTACTTATACAAATAAGTAAACTGTCCAAGGACTTCAATTCACGCAGAAGTTTCTTCTTATTGCGTTGCCTTATCTCATCATTAATACTTTTTTATGTGTATTATCCAAGAAAGTATCCATCTTCCTGTCCTTCGGTGACTTCTGATTACTCACACAAAATGGCTAAAAAGTGGTCTAATAACACTGTTCTGTAATGTAGCTAGATATATTGACAACTATTTCAGAAATATCTTTGGTTTGCTATTTGCTTTCCTCATCGCCATCCCTTAGTTTTACTAGTTCGGCCTTCAACTCAGCAATTTCATCATTACACCCAACATTCTCAGCTAAAGAATCTGTCTTGTTTTTCTCTAACCTCTTGATTCTGACCTTGAGCTTGACATTTTCAACATCATGTCTCTTATCTACAGCAGCTCGTTAATTCTAGCCTTAAGCTTAATTTTTTCTAACTCAAACTCAGCTAACTTCCTTCTAAGATCAGAGATCCTAGCATTCTTATTCTTACGCTCATCATTCTCAATCTAATCTCAGCAAACTTCTTTTTAAGTTCGTCAATTTCAACTAAGAGTTTAGCATTTAATCCCCTTAATGAATCATTGGATTGCATATTTGATAATAATTTTTATATAAGATAGAATAATTCAAAAGTTCATTAGCATGGATCTAACCAATGATAGAAAT